ACATACATACATACATACATACATACATACATACATACATACATACATACATACATACATACATACATACATAGACTCATAGCATATAAATATGAACATAATAACTAATACTCTGTAAATAATTAGCGTGATGATTCAGCCAACCTCTTCAAGAGAAGCTCACGTACTTTCTGCCTAAATGTTAGACGTGTCGACACCATCCTGACATCCAGGGGGAGCGCATTCCACAGCAAAATTGCCTGCACGAAAAAAGAAGAATGAAGGAAATCAATGCGATGAGTGGGACATTGGAGAAGACGGTTATGGGAAGAACGAAGGTTTTTACTGTGGTTTGCGCACAAGTATTGAAAGTAAGGAGATAGATAACTGGGTAAAGAAGGTGAACAAAGAAAGGAGAACGGAGTGGTTAGCGCCCTTTGCTCCCTGCGCTGGCGTATGGGCAGCCACTTTAGTTGCAGCCGATGTGCCGAAATATGAATTTACGCAGGTTGAAGACGAATCGGATGCAGTTATTCAGAAGTCGGTCAAGTTTGTTGAGGAAATCTGCATTCAGGTCGAAGTAGCACACATCAGCATAATCGATAATAGGGAAAACCAAAGCCTGCACCAACATAGCCTTCGTAGCGGGAGGAAGTAAGTTTTTCGCACGATACAAAACTCGCAAAGATCCAGTAACTTTTTTGCACACACTGCTGACCTGAGCATGCCACTTCAAATTATTATCCATATGCAGTCCCAGGTTTTTCACCTCATCACTATACGGGATTACTGCTCCATCAAATACTACGGCCGGCAAGGAAGCCATGTCAACTCCATTCATCGTGCGGGAGCCACCAATAAGAATGGCCTGACATTTCCCAGGATTCACTGCTATGCCAAACCTATCGGACCAGTTTTGAATGGCCGCCAGGTCATCGTTCATCTCCGAGATCGCATCAGACAGCCCATCAACATCAGCTTGACGATATAGCTGCAAGTCGTCAGCGTACAGATGGTACGCACACCGAAGTTCAGAAGTTGTAAAATTAATGAACATAGAAAATAGAAGAGATGATAGTATACTGCCTTGAGGAACGCCAGCCCTTAATTCACGCCAATTAGACGAACCATCATCAAGCTTGACCGACTGCTGACGCTCCTGAAGATAAGAAGAGAACCAGTTCAGTGGTTTGTCAGAGATCATGAGATGGGATAGGACGGCTAGAAGGATGTCGTGACTGACCATATTGAAGGCATTCGAGAAATCAACTAAAACCAGAATTGTAACCTTGGTGTTTTCGAGGCCAGTCCTAATATCGCCAGTCACCTTAAGGAGAGCGGAGGTAGTGCTGTGACCTGGTCTGAACCCGGATTGGAGAGGACTAATAAGAGAATTCCGGAAAATGAAGTTGGACAGCTGTTTGTGTACACAGGCCTCAAGCACTTTGGAAAGGAAAGGAAGTATGGATATGGGACGGAAATGAGTGGGGAGAGAAGGATTTGAGATTTTCGGGAGAGGACGAACAAAGGCCTTACGCCACAAGGATGGAAAGGTTCCTGAAAATAGGGAAAAATTTACAATATGGGTTATTGCTGGCAGGATGTGATCCAGTACAGTTGTGATCATGTGACGAGAGATATTATCACATCCTACCGCTTTGGACTTAATGGACAGGATTATCTTTCCGACCTCCGCCGACTGAACCGGTGCAAAGCAAAAAGGACAAGAAATCTTAGGACGCTCCAGACCATCAATGAAAGATAACGTATTTTGTTTGACTAGACGATCCATGATAGGGACAGTGGAGAAATGGTTATTTAGATCATCTAAGCCAATTGTGTTAGGAAGGTCTGGATATTGCGTTTTACCGATACCCAGAGTTCCGAGGAATTTCCAAATATCGGCAGGAGAAGAAGAAGTGATGTTTTCGAGAATATGGCGGCGTTTAGCGTCTCGTACCATCTGGTTACATTTGTTTCGTGCTAATTTAAAAGCAACCCAGTTCTCGTCCGTGCGATCCCTT